GAAAAATGATGAAACAAATTTAAGGTGTGACATCTTATGTGGAATTTTACCTACATTATGATGCATATAATTTTAACAGAAAGTAAGCTCCACATTTTCACTTAAAGGTTACAATTAGAGTTAGTCTAAGTAGAAAACGGCTATATTAAAATCAACAAAATAAATCAAAATATTGGCGAACTATTACTAACTTGGTCAGTTGAGAAAAACAGTGATCATTCAATTGAAATGGAAAATATTGTACGTAGGACACGTGGATTGTTGAGTAGCAGAAAAAACTTTCATTTTCCCTATTTCTTTCTTGTCATCTTCTAAGGTAGAAGAGCGATCATTCAAAAAAAAAAAATCCACAATCAAGAATATGTTTTCTTCATTCAAGAATTTGATATCCTCTAGAGTTGAACATATGGCGGATAATAATTCAGCCTTTGAAGAAGTGCCATCTTTGAAAAGTTTCACAGAATAGCAAAGCTCTATACATACACTATCGTTTCCCTAAGGAAACACTTACCACCAATCTGAAGATCTTGAAAACTACTTATAAATGGAAGAAGCATATCGAGTTGCATCCTACGAGGATCAATGGAAATAATAGACCGTCCTGGAGGTTTGTACATCAAGGCATTGTTGAAACCAAGACACCCAAAATTTGCCTAAGGAAGTTGTTGTATCCTACAAACTAGATAAATGGTTAATATAACTTTGGCATATATTCTGCATCAAACAAAGCTTATACAAAAAAATTCTTTAGAACTATATGTTATCATGCTTACAGTTCGTATATATGAATTTAAATACAAAGTTAATTATGTATAATGCCATCATGCTCAAATTATAATATACCAACTTTGAGGTAAAAAATGATTTAGTTGAAACCATTTCAGACGTAAAATAAGATTCTCACAGGAATAAAAGAGATAGTCCTTATTTGGCTTGCAAAATCTCAACACTGAAGACGTGAGACTAGTATGATACTTATTCAATAATTACTTTTTCAAATTCGATATGCACTTGACATGAAATAGTAATTTATAGATAGAACAAAAAGGTCACTCCATGAGAGAAGAAATCAGAAAAGAGAAGTAAATAGCATGAAAAAAGATGGAGAATGTTATCATATATGCATCATTACAAGCTACAAAAGTTACTTAAACTTTCAGGAACATAAAATTTCTAGAACTCTACATGGAGTTAGTCCCTGGAAATTGCAGAAATGAGACCAATTCGAAGTTCTGGAAAGACATTTCCTAGGGAATAAAACACTTCAAAATGTATATCCCAATCTTTTCCTAATATCTAGCAATCCAGATTACACACCTTCACAAAGTAGAACAGACAGCACTTGAACCCTGTTATTCGGAAGAAATTTGCAAGATTGGGAGTTTGATGATATACTTAATATTCTGGAAACTGGAAAGGTTGGAAAATTGCACAACTAATGATCAGACTTTGAAAATATTTATATGTGGCAATAAAGTTGATGGTTTATACTATGTGAAAGCTAGCTACTCAGCCGTTTCTGCCCAAAACGAGATGGTGGAAATGTGGCCGATGAAAATGAGATGGTTAAAGTCCTAAATCCTACTATATATATGATCATTTACACACGATTTTTTTTTTATAAATGGTCAATATTTTCATATTAGGCAGCCATTGATTTCATATAGGAGTAAATTCTAAAGAAAAAAAACAAATTAATTGTTGCCTTTCAAGATTTATTAATGATCGTTTGTCATTAAATTTGACAACCACTAGACTATCAAACAAAAAAAATAGTGAAGCAACAAATATCTCAACTCGAAGACATAAAACTACCATGTTGTTCATGAATAATTTGTTGTTTTTCTAATACAATATGCACTCTGTATAAAATATGTATCTTCATCCCCAAAATCGAGTCAACTATTAGAAAGTTCAACCCAATAATCTTTCCAGTTATTGTACATAAGAAAACTTATCAAATTATGAAACTTTTAACCTATTTTCTATTGGAAAAGAGGAAGAAGAAGAGTAACCTAAAAAAATCAGAAAAAAATGACATCAATACAACATATGGAAGAACATAAAGAAATAAACCTGGAATCTTTTTCGAGCAACTGAACAACAACTACACAAGGAAGAAGCAACCTACTCTGAGCTTAGGGAAGATCTGCGACGGAAATCCACTAACTTTGATATTTGGGCAGAGTTGTGGTGGAAAAGAATGATTGATTTGATGAAGAGAAACTAGGGCAAAGTTGCGAAGGAACAATGAGGTTTTTCCTTTTAGTTTTGGGATAACAGAGCGTTTTTTCCTTGGCTTTTTGCTTCTGTATTATATTTTAGCGCCTAGGTTTTTGTGAAAAGAAAGTTTTGAGTTTTTTAGTAGTTTAGTATAATACATTTTGGCACTTATGTTTTTGTGAAATTATAGTTTTAATTTTTTTAATACACTACAACAATTTAGTTCTACGGCCACACTAAATCTTGACAACGCTTGTAAAGTGTTGCCTAAAATATATTTGGGTACGCTTTTAAAGTGTAGCCTATGTTTTTAGCTTTTGGCTTCAGTTGTATTGACAACACTTATAAAGTGTATTCTTTAATGGCACAGGCTACACTTTATAAGCGTTGTTACATTATGATTTAATTGGCAACACCTATTTACACATTTGACCACACTTTAAAAGTGTATTATTTTTATAATTGTAAAAACAACACATTACAAGTGTTACCTTAAAGTTTTCACTTAAATATTATATTCCCTCCAACATATTTTTAACTCTCCCTCCAATTTTTCATTGGCCAAAATATAAATAAATGATAAAACATAAAACTTGTCAATTGTCAGATCTTTGCCCTAAATCGAAAATACCTCTCAAATGCTCATAAGAATATTGTTTGCCCCCATTCTGAAATTTCTCAAAGGCTCACAAATCAGCAGGTAGTTTTTTAATCAATACATTATGTAACGATTTTTCACAAAGAAAATTGTAGAATGGTTTCAAGAAACTCTTGAGTTTTTTTCTCAAATTTCAGATTCATGATTGTTCATCAGGGATAGAACGAAAATACCTCATATTTTTCTCATTTTTCATCAGGGATAGAACGAAATGCTTCACTTAAGAAGCTGATGTCTTAAAGTTGCATCCCATTGAAAGGATTTTGTTGGAGTAGAGTTTATCACGTAGAAATTTTTATCTTTGAATGTCCGAATTTATTCCATTTGGGTTTATTGCGTGCGATTACAGATTTGGTTTGTGGGTTTTGATTTTATTTTGTTGTTGATACGATTTGTGTTAATTTTTGGGAGTCTAGCGTGTAATATAATACAATTTTTTGTGTTGTTGATACGATTTAGTATACATTTGTGTTTCTTCGTCTTTACTAGTTTGTGGAACTTGAGCTTCTTGTATTGACTAGAAAGAATTCTAGCTTGTAGTAGTATTACACCCC